TGTGGAAAAAGCTTCACTAATAAATCTCATCTTGATACACACATCAGAATTCACACAGATGAGAAGCCCTTTAAATGTCTGTCCTGTGGAAAAAGCTTCACTAACAAATCTAATCTTGATAAACACATCAGAATTCACACAGATGAGAAGCCTTTTTGCTGTAACATTTGTAACAAGAAATTTACTCAGAAGGGTAGTTTGACTTCTCACATGAGAATTCACACTGGTGAGAAGCCTTTTTCTTGTAACATTTGTAACAACAAATTTAATCAAAAGAGTAGTTTGACTTCTCACATGAGAATTCACACAGGTGAGAAGCCTTTTGAATGTCTGTCCTGTGGAAAAAGCTTCACTAACAAATTTAATCTTGTTACACACATCAGAGTTCACACTGGTGAGAAGCCTTTTTCTTGTACCATTTGTAACACTAAATTTAATCAGAAGAGTAGTTTGACTTTTCACATGAGAATTCACAAAGGTGAGAAGCCTTTTGAATGTCTGTCCTGTGGAAAAGGCTTCAATGACAAATCTAATCTTGATAAACACATCAGAATTCACACTGGTGAGAAGCCTTTTTCTTGTACCATTTGTAACAATAAATTTACTCAAAAGAGTAATTTGACTACTCACATGAAAATTCACACAGGTGTGAAGCCCTTTGAATAAGTCACAGCAGCTAGATGCCACAGGAATGAAATGTAGAGGTGTTTACCATGTTTGACTGGTGATAAAATGTCCATCTAGAAACTCCTTCACCTCATTACATGAGAAACTCACGTGTCAAAGTCCTTTTTTTGAGGCAAGTTTTGAGAAAGCCATTAATTAACAGCTCTGTTTACATAGAAACCAGAACAGATAAGGTGTTATATAGTAAAGCCTGTACTCAGTTGCTGGATGAATATTTGGAAGTGAACATTTGAAAGTTCATTATTTTGGACCTGAGTAAATTAGATTTCAATGGCCACAAAATGTTGCCCTAACAAAAAAAAAAAGATTTTTAAATTTATGATTTTTAAATTTTTCTGTAATGAGGGGAATAAACATAATAAAGTGCAACGACAACATCTTGGTTACAGATGAAGCAGGTTTGCTGTCCATAGAACAAGCAATTGATAAGTTATAGATGTTGAAATTAAGGGGGGGGAAAAAGGCAGACCCATACTGTGCAACTTTTGCTTGGTGTTGCATATCTTTTTCTGAATGAATTTATTAAGAAAAAAAAACTCCAGTTTTATTTTGTACACCAAGAAACTTTTAGTTGAATGATAAGCTATCGGCTGGATATATTCCAGAAACAGACTTTTATTCTGATGAAAATATCCTCAGATG